GCTGCGTGCGACTAATGTAGAACCAGCTTTAGGAGTTGTAAGCTTATTGGCTACCGCGTCACATTTTGCTGCGCGGCAAGCGTTTCCGCGTTCAGTGTGCAGGAGCCAATGCGTTGGCGTCAGAACGCCAATACTGTGACAGTCTGACAGATATGAGGTTAGTCGAGCTAACTCAACTCTGATTGGACCACAACGCTTGCGACACGCTTGCGACGCTGCGATGCGAACAATGAACCAGCCTAATGTAGAACCAGCTTTACGTATACTATACTATAGGTGCGTTCAGGGAGACGCTATTAGCGCTATGTGTCATTCTATCCTTGTTTTACGTTTAATAAACAACGAAGGTAGAATGACAGAAATAGCGCTATTAGCGTCTCCCCGAACGCACCATATACTAACAACGGGCTGTAATCAGCTGTAATATACGAGCACGGCCTAGGTTAGATTATCGGTCTTGCTTCGATAATCGAATGATTTGAATGCTCGGTGTAGTTGTGTGTTTTGGTATTTTCTCGTAGCACAACGTTTTTGAAAATAGGCGACTAATCGCGCGACGAGGATGGAGTCGAACGAGATTGAAATCTTGAAATCGGGGACGAGTATGCGAAGTGACAAGAACGCCGTCATTGATTACGACGAAGACAGAGTAAGGTCAGAATTAATTGCCCGGGGATTGAACGTTTACGAGTATTGCGTGTTGTTTGTGTTGGAAATATAAAAGAAACTTGCGAATGGAGTTCAACAATTTATTTTTATTTAAGGAGAACTTGACATAGACATCGAAAGATCAAGAGCGAAGGCAGATAAGAATATCGCGGAAAAAAGAATATACATGTTCTACGAACATTATTGCGTTCAATCAGTTAAACAAACGATTTAGGATTTCTTTAACTGTATTTACACATATCAATGTTGCATCATAATAAAGTTTATTGATTCGTTTACTATATGCACGCGGCATGTTCTAACATTCATCAATATTTAATGTTTTTATTGTTTCAGTTACACGAGATGACAGCGTCTTATTCTGAGATATCGTTTGATTCGCAATCCTCGCCACCCATCTCCGAATTGAGATCACTCATTGATTCTCCAGATATTGACAGCGGAAAATTTCTAGATGATAGTTTAGATAAAATAGGAGGAGCCGGTCATAGGCCGGATCAGTTAAATCTGAGAAGTAGGGGCGGCAGTCCAACAGAAGACGACGATCTTGACCCACCGAGTTATCATAAAGCTATAGGTTACCTACAGTTGGAGGGAAGAGTAATGCAAGATGGAGATATGGTATTGTTTGTAACGGAAGATTTGGAGAACAAGATCAAATTGTCGAGTCCTGTGACTAAAAAAGGAGACACTCCATCATTTCCGGGATCACGAAGCTCAACCCCATGCTTGTATAGACAGGCCTTAACTCCGCAATTACCACCTCTTGATCATAATGTATTAAACGAATTAGAGATGGAAGCTAGAAAAGTTGCAACCTCCGTGGACGCGTTGACCGAAAATTTAGCCGCGATTCTACAAAACGTAAGTCGCTGTCACAAGTCTTATTTTGTACCATGCTATTTTATATGTTTAAATTATTCGTTTTTGCTTCCAGGCTTCGGCTCTCACAGTCGGCTGTTTAGAAACATACAGAGATGCAGTGTGTAAGACTTGTGACGCTGTGGATCATAATATAAAGTCAATGTATCAATTAATGGCTAAGTGTGAAGAACTGTCCAAATCGATAGGACCAATTTATAAGTTAGCAGAGCAGATGTGAGTATATATCATCGACAAATATTATCCTTTTAATTTAATCCAGGCACGTAAGAAAATATTAATGATTATGGGACATTTTGAAACTTTTCATAACTATCATTAGCGTTTTTATGACATTTATTACGGAGGAGACGTGATTATTTTTTATAAAGTCAATTATACAAGAGAGGCTATCTGTAAATTACGATATTAATTTAAAAAAAAGAGATTTTGTTTTAATCAAATATTAACAGCATCTTGAGAGATGAAGGATGAAAGTGAAAGAGAAGAGACAAGAAAGAAGTTCCTATGTCTATTAAGCTAGAATGTCACCCCCTTCTCTAACCACGGACCCCTACGTCCTGTGACGGAATTCCCCGTTACGTCATCCCCCGCACATCCCTCACATCTTCTTCAGAGCTCCCGAAATAGAATCCCTTTTACTTGCCTACTGACATACGAAGGATTCAGTGCTTTTTTTGTGCTCTAATCCCGACTTTATTGTTCTAATTCCGATTTTATTGCTCCAGCTGTTTAGCAAGAAATAATTTTTCGCCGATTTAACACATTGACAAACTGAAACATAGCGGGACCAATCGCAAAGAGGACCGCTTAAGTCTCGACTCTCCCTAGAGGGACTCTAAGGGGCTGCGCAGAATAAAAGGAACAGAGAACAGAGAATAAGAATTTCAACTTAGAAACCGTGTATTCCACAATACATGATTTCTGATAGATTGAAATTCTTATTCTTTGTTCTCTGTTCCTTTTATTCTGAGCAACCCCTAACTCTAACGAGTTATTTTTAAGAATTGTAACTAGTAACGGTAATTTGTTACTTTTTCTATTAGGTAACGAGTAGCTGTAACTTGTTACTTTTAAAAAGTAACTTCCCATTCCCTGAAAATACAAATAGATAATTCTGTTGCGACGAATTGCCATGAATATTAGAGTATTTAAAAAATGAGATTGTTTTTTACAAGCACATATGTATATTCTTATTACTTGATTTTCAGCAAAGAGATGAAAAGGATGCTGGAGCTGTTTGAGAGCGCGATGAATCTATAAGCAATAGGAGGAGAAAGATGTTACATATTTATCAAGACACTATTGTGAGCTTTAAGATTCATGATGAAATGCAATTGCACTATGTTAAATTTACAGTATGCTGTGAAAAATATGTTGATGTATCATACGACAAGCAGGATTATATCTGCTGTACAAGTCTTTTTGGAAATGTGTGTATGTGAGAACACACCTGCGTGTTGTGTGCGTGTGCGTGCGTGTGTGCGTGTGCGCGCGCGCGCGCGCGTGTATGTGTGTGTACATACGTGTGTGTGATAATGATATATTAATGTAATATAACACAAGTAATTTATTTTTTTTTTGTTCAATTTTTATCATGATTACATCATATATCATACATGAGATACACTATACAGGGTATTTCATAAATGCATGTCAATATTTTAGGAGACAAATATATACACTAAATAAGTAAAAAAATGTCATATGAACATATGCCCTACATTAGTTTTCAAGTTATGAATGATTAAAGATATTTCGAAAGAAAATATTCGAAATATATACCTTTTTATTGGTTATTCTTTAAAGAAATTTGTTGAACAAGGAAAAAAAACAATCTTGTACAATAAACAAATGACATGTTACTATCAGCAAGTATTTTAAAAATGTAATCAAATTATAAATATGTTTTATCAAATCCTAACAGTTAAATAAAACAGGTAAATAAAATGTATATAACTATTTCAATTTAAAAAAATTTAAAAATATACGAAAATATAAACAGCAATGAAAACTTTAAAAGTAGACACTTACTTATTAATAAAGTTTCGTATTACTCACAACTGGTAGTATTTATCAATCGAAACTAAGCACCGAATTCGCTGCCATGCGACGATTTGGGCTTTTTATACTTATGTTTGGTCAACAACGTACGCAAACGAAACTATGCGTCAACATATTTATTTTCCACATAAATTTAATAAGATGTCATATTTTATCAATACATTATTCATATTAACATTGAACACTTAGCAGTTAGCTGCTCTATGATCAAAATAAAATAAACGATATTTTACGAAAATAATAAGTTCTTTATTCATACTTTGATTTTAATTGTCCGAGATACATTTTTTACATATTATTAAAAATATTTGACTGGTTTTAAAAGTTTAACAAAATCACTATTATTATTATTATTGTAAAAAGCTCTTATTTTAATAGTTAATGCTGTATTGATACAGTACTGAACTGTATTGTATTTGCCTTCGACGCTATCTCGCGCAGCCAACACCGGTGTGAGACAGATACATATGGAGCGCGTATATAGAGGTATTTCTTGTTCATATTCCAAAAATGCATTTCCGGAACATGACTTCAATATAGGTCGTTGTTTCCAGCGTAAAATGCTCTTTAATTTTTGTCATTATAAAAATTAAAAAATTTTTGAAAATCGAGAGTTGGGGTGGGAGTGTACAATAAATAAATAAATAATCTTTTTTTATTATAATTATTAAGTACTCTTGAAGCCATTTAACTTTTATTTAAAACATTTTTCTCTCATAATTTCGACGATATTCAATCTGAAAGAAAAAAACCGATTTTTTTTCAAGAGAGGGTTTCACCCCCTTAACGTATACGACTCAGCACATATAAGAAAACGTAACTCCTATTTTTGTCTGTACTTTAATATATCCAATCTTATTAAAATCGAAGGAGGACCACTCGTTGTGTTCCCTTGTTAGTGACTGTATTCTATGTTGTGTTTTTAGAGAGTTTTATATAATTATTTAGATTTGTATACATAATTATTTATATTTATGTTTTTGTCTTTAATGCTGTCATACAATATGGAGCACATAAAATATTTACTCTAACTTGTCATACAAATGTGAATTTGAATAAACATGTTGATTGTTCATAAAGTATGTAATTGAATATATAATCGAGAGCTTTGTTCTAAAATGCTGTGTCACTATAGTTACAATCGTTTTCATTTTTATTATGAATTCCTTCGTATAAGGACGATTATCAAACAGTAGAAATTTTCATTTACAGTGGCTTACATTATGCACTTAGTTACTAAGTTTGATGTCAAGATGTATAATCTACTAACGCCTAGATCCGACAACAAAAATTCTAAATATATACAAAATTCGCAACCCCAAAATACTAGCAAGAAAGTTTTCAAAAAATTGAGTAAAAAGGTTATTTGTAAATTTTTATTTTTTTTTAAGCAGTAATTTTTGAGATAATAAGGGTATAAATATGACCATGATGTAAAGACAAAGTGTAACATTGCGCATTGTAATGGCGGCATGATGAGCGGAGCCAATGAATTTCGGAAATATCGAGATGCAGTGGACTTTGAAGACTACAAAAATTAATGTAAAATATATTATAATTGCTTAAAATATCAATGATCATCGCGTAATTTATCAATTCCAGCCATACACCGAATCTTAACACGATCACTTGATCACTTTATAAATACTTGACAGCTATGCATAGCTGTTTTGATATCAATTATTGTTCAGTTTAACTGTTCAATTCTGACTATTCTGATTTAAATAAATGGTCTAATATATGTACACTGAAAATTGTATGCATTTTGTCGTTATGATTGGGATATCTTTTTGCTAGTATGTATGTACATACATACATACATACATCATGTTCGTATCATAACAGCTATATTGCTTTTGAACATTTGGACTTAATTCTTATTGATCGAGACTATGGATTGATATTACACCTTGTCTTTTTACATCATGAATATGATTTATTACAGCATGTTTAGATGGCCACCTATCCATGAGTCGCGCGTGTAGTGGTATTAGTTCTGGTAAGTGCTCACTTCAGCACGGTGAACTCATAATACTTACAAGTGATCATCTAAATGTAGACTGTAATTTTTATCTGTATTTTGAGTCGTAAATTTTGTGACACTCTGTATAATATATATTGTATATATATTATATATATAATATATCATATGTGTGTGTACGCGCGCACGTAGGGTGTCCCGAACTTAAGTGGCCAAACTTCGGGAGCGTGTAGGGGTTGATAAACTAAAAATAAAAAAAACGTCCTTTCTTAAGGAGATGCTTCGTTTTGGAGAAAATCGTTCGTATAAAATGCAATGCGTGTATTGCTGCAAGAGTTCAACATTTTGAACAATATCTGCATTAAGCAAGCGACAATGTGAATAAATAAGTGTGAATGAATAATAAATAAGTAAAAAAATGAAAACTATGTTTTGTCTTTTTTTCCATTCTCTCCAAAACGAAGTAAAAACGAGAATGTCTCTAAAGGACTTTTTTTCTTAGATTATTATCGATTCCCTGTACATTCCTAAAATTTGGCCATTTAAATTCGGGACATCCTGTATAAAGCAGGCAACTTATGAGTAACGCGGTAATGTACAGAGCACGGGATGATACATTCAAGATCCCTCTTTCCTTCAATGAAAATAAAATTAAAAAATTTGTAAATTCCAACGAGAAAAACATAAAGTCAATTTCACGAATAAAATTAAATACTAAAATACTTATGCAACTTAATATTATAATATTGTCCTACTTATAAAACATTTTTTTTTAAATTTCTGTAAAGATAAATTAACGTTATCTATTGGAGAAATGAATTGCCAACAGTGTTCGTGTGTTGGCTCTTATCTCTGTGTGTGTGTGTGTGTGTGTGTGTATAATCTGTACGTTTTAATTCAAATAAATAACAGATACATATATACCTACATATATATCTTCCCTTATTATTAATTATTCAACAATAATTGGCTCATTTCATCTATTTAAAAAGCATGTGTCACGTAGAAAAATATCTTTATCATCTAGAAACAATATACACGCACTTGATGATACATTTTACGAAAGCGCAGAAAAAGAAAAATGTGTTAGAATATCGAATTATACTCGTGTGCTTTCAAAAGTCGTGAAACGCGATGATAATTTACAATTTTGAAAAAAAATTATCACATATTGAAACGTAATTCATCATGCATCTATGTCACCGTTAATTAAAACACATCGTGAAAAAGGATTTTGGCACCAGCTTCATGTCTCTGACATGATTATCTTTTTCTTTTGCATAAACATAAAAAAGATAAATCTAGTGTACTATTATATGCTTTGAAAAATAATAGAAAAAGAAGAAAAAAGAAGAAATTTATTCATTCTTATCATTTTGATCAAATTATTTGATTGTTATTAATTATTTAATAACGTCTATTATCACGGCTTCCTCATGTTTTCTGTGAGAAAGTTACGAGAAAAGTAGAATAAAAATAACAAATTAATTAATACCCAGACAGTACAAAATGCTAAAAGATAACGAAAAGAGGTCTTTTATAAGTTGTCTTTTCGACAAAGCGAAAAGATATCTAAAAGATGACGAAAAGACATCGTTTTTAGATTGTCTTTTCAGCAAGACGAAAAGATGTCTATAAGACATCGGTCATGACCTTGACACAACGTATGTCAAAGTCAAGATCATCGGGAAGTAATATTACTTCCACCATGCTTGGTAATGCCAATACATATAGTTAAATTTATAGCTAATTCCGAGCTTATCTCTATGTGTCTAAGTTTTTTTTGCCTCTTATGTAGATCTTTATCATATACGTAGCATAGTGCACTATGTATCATCAAGCGCGTGAAAGTACTACAATGTTCCGTCAATAAATAAACGTATGTAGCTTAGACGTATTCGATCGTCATATCTAAGAGATAAGAACTAGAGGTTATTCACCGATATGATCTGATTTATCCAACCGATATACGAGGAGACTTTTACATACACACCCGGTACATTTTGGCGACCGCAACCGAATCCCCAAGACACTAGTCCGGCCAATTCATAAAAACCGTCATCTTGACATACCAGAGGACCTCCACCGTCGCCCTGAACATCGAAAAATAATTAATTAGTTTTATGTTAGATGAAACATTTGTGGTGAAAAATTTTATACTAAATGTTACGACAATTAAGCTCTGATACGGTATTAAAAATACACACATAATATTTTCCTCAATATCACAGAAAAATGATACCTGACACGCGTCATTTCCCTGTTCGCCACCAGCGCAGAAACTGCTTGCTGGTAGAATAAAGATCTTCTCTGTCACGGCGTTCACTTTCCTTATGCATTCGGCATCGCTGACGATCGGTATTTCTGCTTCACGTACCCGAAGAGGTATAGGACCGGCTGTAAAATATTGCCGCATCTTGTTGCATAAGTAGTATAAAATACATATCACGATGTTTATTCTTTAAAAAAGGAAATACGCAGTATCAAGAATATATATTATATGAAGAACTTACCTTCTCCCATGTATCCGTAACCTGTAACTGTACATCTTTTTCCAGCTGTGTGACTAACACCCCGCGCGGGCAAACAAACCAGACAAACTCCGTCCTTTAGTTCCGCTTGACCATGAAGCTTCAGTAAAGCGATATCATTATCGAGTGTCTGGCTATTGTGATTGTGGTGGATGTATGTCGTTGCGACGCGCAAAGTCTGAGCACCGGGGCTTCCGTATTTACGAGTGAGATCATGATCGCCCACCCTTACGTAGATTGCGTCGCCGGTCCTTACGATACTGGAAACGAGTGCTTTTTCCTACTTTTTCAGTTTTCAGATTCGTTCCGCGCGTATGCGGAAGACAGGCGACATTTACTTACTTTGTGACACAATGCGCCGCAGTAAGAACCCATTGCGTTCCTATCAGCGCACCTCCACACAGGTATTGGTTGAGGGAGTTTATCAAGGCGACCTGCCAACACCATTCGTTGGCATCTGCGTCTTCACCACCTACAACGCGCGCGACTCTTTCGGAGTTTCGTGCCTGAATCGGACCGCGTGAGGTCCCTTTCACGCCGCAAACATATTTACTGTATACTGGACTTCTAGTGGTAGTGGTAATCGTCGTCGTCTCATCTGAAAAATTGATGATCTTTTAGCAAACACAGATATACATTTAACCGACTTTAACTTGAACTTGGATTAGCTTTTAACTTGAACTTACAATTAGCCAATCTTAACTTGCATTTGAATTAGTCTTTAATTTAAACTTTATTTAGCTGGCATTGGATTGAATTTCAATTAGTTTTTAGCTTACATTTGAATAATCAACTTTAACTCATTGTCAGCTTGAATCAGCTTGTATCTTGAATTAAGATCAACTTTTAACTTGAACTTGAATCAGTCTTTTTAACTTGAATTTGAATCGTTCTGTAACTTAAATTTAACCGACTTTAACTTGAACTTAAATTAATTTATCTCGACGATTTTCGTAATTTTCAGTAGTTTTATGATTACACAAACTAATGATAGATTTTTCAATTCCTAGATACTTACACGACGTAGTGAGTGGGGTGGTATAAGTAACGTGGAACGTGTCGTTCCTGTTGGTTAGAACCGGCTCCGTAGAATTTCCACCATGGAATTCCCTTATCAGAGATTTCGGTGCACAGCACTGGTGTCCCTGTTTCTTACACTTGAACAGATTCGTCAGCTCAGCATTTCCTACGTATGTATGAATAAACATGAGACACTATTCACGTGAGGCGCGCATTCTTCGCGTGTACTTACTGAAACAGGTAAATGACAAGTAAGATACGATGCAGGAACCAGGACAGTCCGAACGTGGGTCCGGTGGTAATGATATCGTTGTCGGCGGTCGTGGAGTAGGTCTCGGTCTTGGTCTCGAAGTCTGAAACGTCGCAAGGAAATTATAAAGATTATTAAAAAAAAGTTATAAATGGATAAGCTGCATTTTGTTGTTTGTATATTACATTACTTTCGTGTAAAATTTTTTTCTATATTTACAGATTGATCAACGAAACTCGATAATAGAAGAACTGATTGTGAATCGTGAGTTAATTACCTGCGGCGGACTTTTTGTATTATCGCAACAGATGTAACTGGATTGACAAGTTGACGTTTTCGTTATGATTACATTTGGTCGCTCACAGAAGGCTGCCATAAGGGTTAATAGACAAAAACCAGGGCACGTTGGTAGCTTTAGTTGAGGAGCTTTCGTGGAGGGCTGAATCGTCGTTGTCGTTTCCTTTCAAAAGAAATGATATACTTACTTATACTGCTGCAAACAACTTTAGGTTACTCTCTGAGATTTCACTCCACGAAGTTTAGAGAGTAATCTTGCCAAATTATAATACCGCTTAATGATTGGCTAATGTCAAATGATAATACCTCTAAATAACTTCGAGACAATCTTTTCGGAGTAAATCAACGCATGCATGTGACAGTATAGCTTTCATTAAAGTGCTATCAAATGTTAAATCTCATTACCGCTTTTTGCGGTTCACTGATGCAGCAAACCGTCAATACGGAATCATCGGGAGGACAATCCGCATATGCATCGACGTTCTCGCAGAAAAGAGCGGATAGACCACTCGTGCATCTTCCTTTGCATGGCTTGAATGATACTGGCTTCGGTTTTGTTGTTGTTGCTGCTGTCGATGGTTGTCTAGTAGCAGTTGTTGTCATCGTCGTTGTTGTCGTCGAGGCAATTGCAGAAACGCTCGTAGATAATGATGTGTTTGGTCGCGTTGTCGTCAATGGGGACGGGACCTTGCTGTCAGCTCCGCTGTTCTTCTCCTCGGTACGAGAAGAGTTCAGGCGGTCGATTACCAGGAGTTCAGGTGGTGGAGACTCCCCGAAGGCATCTCTGGATACGCAACACTTGTAGCCAGGCTTGCATAGGGTGTCTATTACCAGCACGGCATCGCAATAATCAGCGATTCTTTCGGCCATGCAAATGCCCGAACAAGCTTTAACTAAAAATCATCATTATCATTTCAATTTCCATTAATTGTATACAATGTATTTCTTTGCTGATTTTCTGAAAATGCTAGTTTTAATGATAAGGGAATATTTTCTTTAATTATAAATAATGGAATAAACAACTATTTAATTTTTATGACTATATATACTGACTTTAATTACTGAATTTAGATGTATGATAAATCAATTTGTAGATATTTTTCAAACATTTCAATTGATAAAAGGATGTTAAACTTTAAACCGATTTTTTTCGAAAACAGCTGAACGTTGATCTCTATCCCTTTGCTCAAATGCTCTTCTAGTAGAGTGCTATTTAACATATATAAAGCCTTTTCAAAATCGGTGACCCGAAGTCCGCGCCCTCCCCTTGTAAGTAATAATTAAAATAATGATACGATTAAAAGATGCAAATGTCATACTAGAGATACATATTTTATGCAAAATGTTTACGTACTTGATGACTTTTCACTTGTCTCGTTGTAGCTTTCCTGCAAAATAAAAGGAACGTATAAAGATAATTTATAATTCTAATATAACAATTGTATAAAAAAAAATATAAATATTGTCATTCATTACTAATTTCTCAGGTAGTATATGTATATAGGTTTTATATACGTTTCCTAAACGTACCCGCAACATTTTATAACAGTTAAGCATCAATAAAAATCATCTCAACAGAAAATTTCTTAAATTATGATTTTTAAAACCATAATTTAAGAAATGTATTTTGCACATATTTGTAGATAAATAAAAATTATAAATTTTAATTTAAAATTTTATATATTAAATTGCAAAATAGTAGAGGACTTTTCGTCTCAGTTTTTCATTAGGAATAGCACTATACAATTAGTGGACGTTATTTCAGTTACACCCTGTGTGTGTATATATATATATATATATATATATATATGCTTTTTAGTAATAACTTTCTAAAGCAGTTTTCACGATCAAACTTATTTTCTCTAATACCAAATCTGCTGAACATACCGGTGTAGTTTTTGTCGAAGTGAAGGAAGTCGATGTGCTGAGCGTTGTAGTTGTCGCAGGTGTCGTAGAAATCGTCGTGGTCTTGACGATCGTCGTAGACACGGTCGAAGTTGACGGCTCCTCATTGTCAATTGCGTTTTCAGACGAACTGGTATCATTTATCGGATCCTGCAGACAGCATCGCATACTTATCGTGGGACACGGCACGTCCTCGAGGACGTCGTCACACATTATCGTCGCCAACGTGTGCACACATACTCCTGGACAGTCGGCGATCTTCGCCGTGCTCGTTAGAGAATTTAAAAAACCTACATATACATAAATCACTCTTATCATTCTCGATCTATTAAAAACATAAAATAAAATTCACATAATTTAAATTCATTAACATATTTTATATTAATGAAAAAAGAATTTTCTTTTAATCCAAATTTCACAATTTGAATTTATTGTATTTTAAATTGTATTGTTTTATTTATAATATAAATTTATATTAATTCGAATTTGGTTGAGATAATAGTCTAAAACTGGTTTATTCGTGATAAAATTAAATTGTCATATAATCTTCTGAAATTACTTCAAAAGAACCATTCGATATACTGCAGATAGTATAGACTTAAAGCATAAGAAGTTGTTTTTGAAAGGACGCAAGAAATAAATTAAATTTCTACAGGACGATTTTACTGGTGTGTTTTAGAACATATAAATTAAAATATAAATTAATAACATGGCTCAATTAGAATAAATCAATGTATAATAAATAAATAGAAAGGCTATGAACCAGTTAAAAATAAATTGAGAATCTTTAATGTTCAGAAATAAATATAAAGAAATACAATAATGTTCTCAATTTATTTTTAACTAACTCATAGCCCTTCTATTTATTTATATATGTATAACTTAAATATTTTGTAATACACTTTTATATAAATAAGAAATAAGATCCGACGGTGTAAGTGTACAACATACATACGGTAGAGAGCGCCAAAGATCGGTCAAAGTTAGATGTTATGAATACAATATATTTTCTTAATTTAAATTTTAATTATCTCAGATGTGACTGTGCGTCCAAACGTTCGGACATTAACCATAATCGATCTGAGACGCTATTATATAAAGTTTCTTCAAATTCATTTAGTATAATTCAAGCAAAAACTCGCATTATATCCACAAAGAACGAGGAACTCCTCGGGAGCTCATAAAATTTTTGTAAGCTTCATTTAAGCTTCAAAAAGACCTCCTATGTTCGCTTTTGAGAGCTTCCTGGAAGCTTCATTTTGGTTCGCAGGGAGCTCTTTTTAAGCTCCCCGAGATCTCAGCAAAATGAACTCCCTGAGAATTTATTTAGTCGAATTTTATAAGCTCCCTGGGAGCTCGGTAATACGAACTTCCTGGGAACTTAATCGGAGCTTTGTGCTGTGTGGGCATGACTCATTCTGAATTTCTTTTCGACATTAATATATGGAAAATAAAATAACGTATATAGAATAGCTGACAGCAGCTCAATTCAAAATAATCTTATAGTTTCAATAACAGTAGATATTATAATAATACCTTATTAAAACAAGAGCACGACGTGTTTATTGAATTAATAAGATTTTTTAATCAAGAGCTAACTAGTGCTCTTAGTACATTTTTTGTGTATAAACATATCAATTTATCACAATTACCTTCGCAATTATAAAAGAATTAGGAAGAGATAGACAAAAGTATCAGGTGGAGATATTCATTGTAAAAGTCACAAGTGGTGAAAGCAATCGAAATTGTAACGGTCTCAAATTCTGAGTCAGTCATACCCGGCTTAAGTTTTCTATTCTCGAAGAGAGACAATTTAATCGATTCGAGTGTGCGAGTCGCGGATCAGATGTCAATCGAGAACAGTATTACCTCACAACGTGGCAGCGAGACTAGAGGGAAGCCTCTTATGAAATTACTGTCACTGCTGCCGCCG